CAGTTCTTATCTCCCTCAGTTTGCAGAGACACCCTGTGAAACAGCAATTGCACAGGGCAGCTGGGGCTAAGGAAGATGCAATTCTCACAGGGTAAGGGCTGGGCGTGGCAGGGGAGGGGGCAGGCAAGCAGAGAAGTGCCAGGGCTAAAGACTGTTTTGGCAGGGAGGAGGATGGAGTTTGCCATCTGCTCCCAATAAACAGTGAAAGAAGCAACATGAATAGCCATAGTGGCTTTGCAGTGCCCTGGCAACTTCTTAGACACGCCTCCCTGGAGAAATTTCTGTCAAAAACAGGCTCTGGGGAAAACTCTAAGGCTTACCATGAATTGTATTTAGTAATATAAAACTGAATCTGAATAGTTTAAGGCTTTGTATCCCAGCAGTCCTACAGGTACATTGAAGGTGCATAACTCAAATTTCAGTCTCGAGCTTATACCTTACACTGCACATGTAGGTGTCTTAGTCCTCATCCAGGTACATGAACTTGGGTTCTGCCCTGGCATTAGTTGCAGCTTTTCCTGTATGAAATGAGGAAAGTGTGCACATCACTTTGCCAGAGAGGAAATTCTGCACTGGAACAATATTATTTGTTTACCCTAAAACTAGGTGAAGTTCTATCCTTTGTGTATCTGAGAACTCTGCAAATGTTCATTGCACACATGCTGTCCAAAGAAATCACTGCTTTTACAGGACAGTTACTCTTATTTCTAGTCACTGCTTTATGTAAAGCCCAAGACATAAAATTATGGGACTTGCATTTACCAAACACAACATTGTTGGTTAATAAATCAGATGAAGTAAGCAAGGAGACTTAAAACAGTATATTCTCCTTTCCTACATCCAGCTGGACAGACTTGAAGAAAAGCAGAGAGAGACATATCGGCGCATGCTGGAACAGCTCCTGTTGGCAGAAAAGTGCCATCGCCGCACAGTTTATGAGCTAGAAAATGAGAAACATAAACATACAGATTACATGAACAAGAGCGATGACTTTACCAACCTCTTGGAACAAGAGCGGGAGAGGTGAGTATCCAAGACAGTGCAAATATCCCTGGTATTCCGGAGCTTGTTAGTTCAGCAGTAACATGGTCTGATATATTCTGTGTTTAAATGGCGCTAAACTCATGTGTAAACTATTTGCAAATGTAGGTCCACTTATGTTACTAGTAAGTACATTACTGTGCAAATCTAGAGCTGAAGGAATACCACCAAGTGTTCATATAGGGTGTGCTTGAATTAAGAAACAAATTTGTTTTGAATTACTCATGCTCGTTTTGGGTTCACCTTCGGGTAGCTTTTGATCAGATGTTATTTATGTTGGCTACGTTTGAGGCTGGCATGCTTAGCTAAGTGCTGCATTTCACGAAGGACAGGGCACTGTTTGTCACAGCAGGAGGACAGAGTAAGGAAAACCACAACACACATTAGGGTACTGGCACACAAGTGGTAGGGATTTTGCCATGCCCTTCACATTTAGGCTTGCAAAGTCACAAGCCATTTGCATTATTTTTCATATTTTTGGAGTCACATGCCTAAGGCAAGTTCTGTGTTCCCCTGCAAGAAATTATTTTTATGTTTTATAAAACATGCCCAGCCTGCAATGGACTATCTGCAGTGTTTATCTCACAGGCTTATATACTCCAGGTTTTCTTCTTCCAGTGTTTGTACTCCTTGTGGGAGTAATTTGTTCTCTGAGGCTCTACGGAAACAAAAAGCACCTACCGTAGGTGAAGAATGAGCACTTGCTAACAGCCTCAGTTTTTCTATGTGGAATTTTCATGCTCATACCAAACTGCTTGAAATCAATCCACAACTTTTTAAAAAAAGCTCTGAGAAAAATAGTAAGGCAAGTTCAAAGAAGAAATGCTTTTGAGGAAACCACAGTCTGGTGGTGGCAGGCATTTGCAAAAAGCCAGGAGCTAAATTGTTTAGTGTATTTCCTGAGCGCAGTTCAGTGCCAGCTTTGAGTAGGTGGCACATGAGCTACAGTGACCATATTTCCTGGTTGAATAGCTGCTGGTTTTCTGTCTCTGCATTTTCCTGGGCTTATTGGAAAACTTTAAAGGATAAAATTGCTTCTGGATCTTAGCAATTTGAATCGTTTAGCAGAAAAATAGAAAAAAAAAGAATTGTTCCATTTCCAAGGAGCAATTTCACATCTGATTCTCATAGATGTCATTTTTTTCTCTATGCAGAATATCCATGTATGTGTGGACATTCAGGCAACTAAAATGCTACAAAAGTAAAAGTGGTATTAAAATACCATTTACATTTGTCTTTGTATTTTATATTCACTTTAATTTGACAATTATTGCCATCTTATTATTCCAGCTCAATTCATGGAGGCTGCTATGTAGTCTCAGATTATAACCTGCTTTGAACAGACTTCCTTCAATGAATTGATTGAAAAGCTTTTTGTCTCACATTACTACCACTGAAATACCACGTCCCACCTCTGTGCACATTTTCTGATACCCTTCCTGCCCTTTCGTTTCTTTTAACCTTCAGGTTTTCTTCATTCTGTAAGTTTTGTAAAAACAGCAATAAAAAAAGTATTTGAACTTCTATTGAATTAGATCTTTCACAGCAACTAAATCCCCCGGCTTCAGTTGCCAATGCCTCTGTACTGGTGACTGCGGGGGAAGAACTGCAGTGCTCAAGCCCTTTGGATTTATGTTGAGTGACACGAGAAATCTGGTGTTTGCTATTTAATCCACTCTGTTTGTCTAAGGCACTAAGAAAATTCATTTCAAGTTTAGTAGTGACCAAGCAAGGAGAACATGGCATGTAGGCAAACACAGGAAACCACTCACGCATGTCTGTCCCTCTTCAAGGTCCTCCTTCCAGATCACTGGCAAAACAAATCAGCAAAGTCAGGATGGTCTGGAAACCACGCATTAGTGTATAGTCTTAAATGATCTTAATGCCTCATCTTTGTTTGCTAAGTGCACATGAAACTGAGGCTGCACCCACATCTTTGAAGGTATTAAAAAGTGGAAGTACTATCTTTCAAGAGCTGTATTTGTGGCAAAGAGAAGGTGATGGGATGACTTCTCAGGAAAGCCCCGCTGTGGTAATCAGCAATAGATTTTTTGTCAAAAAGAAGGAGTTTGTACTGGAAAGATTAAGTTACAGTAGATTAAAACATACAAAAACCCCTCTAATATTCACTTAATCTGCATATTGGGACAGAAAAGTGACCTGCGCAAAGGCATTTCTCAAGGGTCCTGCATAAACATTTTATAAGTACCACTATATATAATCTATTTTACTGTGGTGCTTTGAGGCTTGGGGCTTATTTTATTAAGATCTGAACAGACATGTAGTCTCCATGAAAAAAAGGGGACACCAAGGTGAACTTTGCCCGTCAGCCCCTCTGCTGCACTTGCTGTTATAATGTTAATGAGGCAGGGTGAGCTGGAGGAAGAACAGCCCTATGAGACAGCCATCTCATAGCAGTCTGGTATAAGGAGAGCAGAAATAATTTCTATCCTGGATCAAGTAATTAATGTTATGTCTTTCCTCACAGTATTTTACCAATCTTTCCTGATCACACCAACTTTTACAGGCCACATTTGCTTTTGATGCTCTGTGAAAGTCTCAACGAGATAAAAAAAGAAATTCTTTAAGAGCATAAATATGTCAGTTCTAACATATTTCTAGCACTCTCTTAATGTATTTACTTTGGAATATTGTTTTTTTTACATACACTTTCATACGTTATCTCTAATCCATCCACAACAACATGATATGAAGGCAAACGGTCCTTGTGAAGGAGCAATTATTAGGTCAGCCTTGCACAAGAAGGAATTAACATAATAATTATACATAACAGAATAATTATGCGTGAAAAAAAAAAGATAAAATTGTACGCAGGATGTTCAAAATGTAGGCACCGAGGAGGGGTAAATGGAGAAAACTGGCTGTTGGTGTTGGCTCTGCAACACCAAGTGCAACCAAGTTGCAGAAAAGTTGTGGAAAAGGTTGGCATGTTACAGGAAGAGAGTGGCGACAACTGTTTGCCAGACAGAGATGAAAGAGATTTGGTACTTTTAGTGGAAGGTGCTTCTGCAGACATGGTGGCTGTGAAAAATTCCATATGGTATGTTGTAATAATATCTAAAAATGGGAATGTTTTGAAAGTTAGGGACATTTTCTATTTTTATCTTTTGACCAACATTCCCATATTCCGTGCTTGCCCATCTCAGCTGCTGTTCCTATAACATTAAGCTTTCCTTGGGCATCTCCTACCCTGGAAATGCAAAAGCAGCCATCTTTCTGGAGCCTTCTGATGAGGCTGAGGAACAAGGAGAAGAGCTGGAGGCCCCTGGGCCCTTTCAGAGACTGGTGGTGGCAGATGGTGGAATAAGGAGTCTCTGGTCTGGCAGATGGAAAATGACGGTCTGACTGGAGTTGCACTGGAAACTGATCTTTAGAGTCAAGCACAAACTTTTTTTATTTGATTAGCGGGACTTTTTCTTCTGGTGGCAAAGGGGAGACCTCTGTGTAATCTTTGCACTGCTTCAATCTCTTAATTGACCTAGGAGATGAGGCTTAAAATCCTGACATTTTTAGAGGTGCTAATCTCTGAAAAAATTGTATTGTACTCTTCTTCTAATCCTGTTTGTTGATAGCACATTTTGCTGCTATTAAAAGCACTGGAAAGCTCCCATTGATTTTAATGTTTCAGAAACAACTGTGTGGTGAGAACCACTGAGCCAGTCCTGCAGGACAGAGGGCAGAAATAGCCTGAAAGCCTTCAAAAATGGGGGGAGGAGGGAGTTTCTTTCATATGCATGGGACGTGGTTTGCCGAACAGAGGGTGTGATGTGGCAGAAAGGCTTTGATGGAGCTCCCTAAGGGAGATTTGTGCAACTGCTTCGTGAGTAATTTGATCATTTCCAGCAGAATCTCTGGGACTGCTGAGACTTGTTTACCTCACCACAAAACCTATCAGTAAATATACACCTAGCATCTAATGTAAGTGTTTTCTGAAAGCATTGATATTATGTTTAGTCACGTCTTATTGTAAGACTTTATTCAATGAAGTGATGAGGATTTAAAATTGGCTCTTTCCTTGCTTCAAATTATTCTTTACAACCACAGTGACAGCGTTCCCAGTGCACTGAAGCATTTCACATTTCCTCAAAGGCAAGGCTGGGGATTCAGTCTGTACTTCCTAAGCAGTGCCCTGCTAAATCTGGTTTTAGTTAAACCCTCTTTTTGAAGTACATGGCCATAATTAGATCTGCTTAGAGGAGACAGCAGGACTGTGACCCCAGATCTTTCCTCCACAAAGTTTCCTTTCAGTCTTTGAGCAAAATTGTCTCCTCTCGGACTCCCCCATCGCAGCACCCCCAGCAAGGAATGCACTGGCAAGTCCCGCGGAGGTCTGTGATAATACATTCCTCTCGGCTTTGGTCATCCTGGCACCAAGATGCTCTTGGCTGCTCTGCTGGTGATGTAATTCTGGGCCCGCATCACCTGCAAAGGAAACTGATCTGCGAGCAATAAAGCACACAGCCGTCTTGAAACAAAAATGGGAGTGTTGATGTTAGCAAGTTTTTAAAATCTGTCCCCCCCCTCCCCCTTTTTGCATTTCTGCTTTTATTATCAAAGCTCCTCTTCTCCCTTTTCCCACGAAATGGCAGTACCAAGCCTTTCACTGGGAAGTGCTTGCTTTGTTTCCCTTTATTTTATGGACCCAAGCAAGTGTGAAGGCTGGAGGAGGCATAGCTTGGGGATTTTGTGTATGTTACCTTTCCAGTTTGCAATCTCTCTTGATTTTTATGGAGACTGTAAAATAAAGAAGCTGGCAGGAAGACAGCAGGGCAGAGTATCTATCAATTACTTCTTTAGAGAACAATCAAGCCAAAAGTATGAAGTGTTCAGGGCTAATAAATCTCTGTGATTTACCAGTTTAAGGCAAATTCTGTGGTAAGAATGGCCCCATATACAGATCTTGGGGTTAGGTGTATGATGCAAACATATAGCACAGATTTTAGCCTGCAACTGTGTAATCTGTTGGTGATTCCTTGAAAGTCTGTAAATTAAGTTACTTTACAGAAAGTTTTTTTGTTTTTGTTTTTTTTTTTTTTCTTTAAGAGTTCTTAGCCATATTTGTACTCTGGCTTTTTTTTTTCATATGGTGACTGTTTTCTGTGCCCTGGTTTCCAAACTGTGACCGAAAAAAAGGAAAATCCAGCCCAATGGGACTGTGGGAATTCACTATTGCCTACAGTAGTTACTCTTCTTACTGCACATTACTGGCCAAAGTAGAGCACTGAGTCACTGTCTACTTTTCAGTAAGTGCATCTCTAAACTTTTAATCTTATAATGTAGAAGACAAGGACAACAGTACAGTTTTTATTCTTTTCTTTTAGGCTGACATGCTATCTGTATGGTTTGGAAACACTGGCTATTTTCTGTCAACATAATACATTCACAGGATCACAGATCACAAACTCTGTGGTAGTCTATTAAAAGAAAGAAATGAAAAAACCTGGAAATGACAAATACAATTTCTGCACAGTTAAGTAAATCTGAAGGTCATCCATTTTGCAGGTGCTGTTTAACAGCTTTAGCTGACTGGAAGGCAGCGACAGCTCAGAGTTTATGTTTTAACTAATGAATCTGGTCCCTAGATGCAACAAACCGGCTCCAAAGGTAATTTAAAAACGAGAGAACAAACAGCCACATCTGACTGTGGAGAAGCAATATGAAAAGTACTGCGAGTTTTACAGAATGTGAGGCTTGCCACGAGCTGGGACTAATCCAAATCCATCTCTTCACACTTGGATAGTCCTCAAAACTGTCCAGTCTTTCAGTCACTTCTGGGATTACATAAAATGGCATCATGTGTTGTTTCAGCTATTCTTCCAAAACCATTTCTAAGTAGGCATCAGCTTCACAGCCCTTGAGAGAGAATTATTATACAAAACTATATGTAATTCATTATTCCTAGCAAGTCTGCTTGCTAAAATCATCAATTCAAATGCTTCCAGGGTCAGGCGGGGGGAAAAAATGACTTCATTCAAAATCTGCTCACGAACCTAAATTCTGTCCAGGGTGCAATAGGTAACAATTTTAATGTTTAAGAGGCCTTTGGCATGTTTCAGAGTAATTATACTACTGAAATAAATATCAGTTCACAGCTCTACTGAGGCCATCTTTTTAAGTTGTCATTTTTTAGGCAAAGAAAACAAGAACTGAATCAGGGTCATGTAGGGGAAATTGCTTCCTCATTCAGAAAGATTAGAAACAGGTTTCAGTTGAACTGCCAGGTTTCAGTGAATTTCTTAAAAATTTAGAGAGATGCCACTTATTTACATGTATAAATCTGTGCTAATAAGCACTCGAGCTTGAATATCTTGGATATTTGCTTTACGTTTACATGGAAGTTTACCTGTATGGAGATGAAAAGACTAATTAATGGAGAATAAGATTTACTATTTTGATTAATGCCCTACAAGTATTCAAGACCTGTTCTGTATGGTCAGATAACTTCTACTAAATCATGTGAAGAACCTCAAGATTTCATCCATCTAGGGAGGCTATTCTCACTCATTGAGACTACACAGAAGCTTTTCTAACCCTAAACAGATGTAATGCTTTTGCATCTTCTTTCTCAAAAAGTGTACTAAGTTGTGCATCTCTTCTTATTCCTGCAGTATCTATACCAGCAGAGTTTTATATTTGCATTGTTTCAGTTTCCACTTCTTTTAAAGGGTTCCATGTGGAAAAATCTTAAGGCAGAAGAAAAAACCTAGGGGGCACAGAAATCCAAACTAAATGTTCTTGTGAAATTTGTCAAAGCCCTTGTGCAAATGTGAGGGGGAAAAAATGCAGAACACAAAATACATAATTCAGCACATATTTGTATACGCCTGTGATTATAATACTGTGTTGCCAGAGTTAGTGTTTTGACTAATTATTATAAGTGTCACCAAAGAAGATCTGATTAATTCATTAATAAGACCAGATAGTCAAAAAACCTTATCAAATAACCCGTGATTGTGTTGTTCACATGGTCCATGGGAGGCTTTCAATCCTCCCATCAATCTGTTGGGATCCAAACCCACCTTTCTGAAGAGGCCTTCTTGGTCATGTCACAGGATCTCTTGGGGTCTCTGTTCCTAGTCGTTTCAGGTAGAATTGTTCCACTTTTGCACATCACTTACATACTTTTTGAGTTACTTTCACCTAAGGGGTGAAAATATTATTGTAGGTCAGTGCCTGGGTATTCAAATTCCCCCAGACACAGGAATTACTGGTGAGGTCTCTCCATCTTCTGAAAAAGCAAGAATTTTTTACCTGTTCATTTGGTGAATGGTCCCAAGATATGATCCTCTCTATTTGTTGTTTTTCTAAAAATGATGAATATGGAAATTAAATTACTTATTCAAATCAGCAAATATGGAAATTAAATTACCTATTCAAATCAGCAAATGCTTCATTGAAATTCACATGAAACATTTTTATTTTTTACTCAAAAATAAAAATAAAGCTGCTTTTTCTTTCTTTTTCTTTGATAATTACTTATTGAAGTTTTGGTTCAGCTCTGAAACTGAAAAATCAGTTACTCACACAGCTCTGATCTCCAGCTGCTTAAGTTAGGGAATGATTAATAGTAACATAGCTGAATATGCAACACCCTAATGAGAAAAGATAAAGAAATGAGCAGAAAATGAGGCTAAATTATAGTAGAGCAACAGCAATGCTTTTCTGATGATAGGAATTATGTTGTAGGTGAAAAAGTATCTCTCAATGACAAATGTATATATTACAGGATGAAAGTTCCTGTACAATTCCATGTAAAATGTTTATTTTCAGAGGAACTGAAAAGGGGTAGATGTATTATCTTTATCATTTACATATCAGGCTGCTCCTACATGACTTCTTTTAAAATGATGCATAGCTTTCAACATTTTCTCAGTTTGCAAGTTACTGGCTCAGATACAAACCTGGTTTCCAAAAACAGTAGGGGCAAAACAGTGTCCATATTGGTGAAAGGCAGGTGGGTGGTGTGGAGGATAGGGCACTGCTGCCTGCAGTTGTTGCACAACTCACACTGTGGGCCCTGCTAGTCCTACAACAGAGTGTGTCCTACTCTGACTGGCTCTTGTCCTTATCTGACAGACCAAGTGCGGCTGTTGGTCCAACTTGCTTTTGGTGGCAAGCACAATTGCTTTGTGTCCATCATTAACACACTGAACTCTCTACATACAGCTTCTTCAGGTCTTAAGAAATAACTGATCTGTAAAAATGCCAACCTGATGCTGGATTTTATAAGCACAAAGCTGGAATTGTTGCAATTCCTTTGAAGTCAGTGTAGCTCTTTTTGATTAATGGGATTAATGAGAATCAGGGATAAAACTCTGAAAATGTTAAAACAGTGTGTGCATTGTATCTGTAGAAGTATATCTAGGCATATATAAATGTATTACATACAGCAGTTTCTTAAGTGGAGTTTCTTAAGCTCCTGCATAAGAGTTTAGTCTCCAGAAAAATAATTTATCAACAATATTTATTTCCTGTTTGATTCTATTTTCATATAATTTCTATATGCCAGGATGCATAAGCCCTGCAGTTATTCAGAGGGCAACACAGACAGGGCAGAAAGAAATTTTAAGGCAAGCAGAGGCAAGAAGAGAACATTCTAATTCACACTTAGTGTATGAAACTGGCCTAGTTTCTCGTTGCTTGCTCTCCATCTGGGTACATATATTTTCCATGTCCTTTCCTTCAGCTGTTCAAATATGCAACAGGCTGGTGGTTATGATATTACCTCGGAAAAGGGTAGTATAAGCTGGAATGGCTTCAGGCTGAGGAGAGAAATAAAACCACGTATGCAACTTCCTGGGCAAGTAATGCAAATCGCAGGTGCTGGTGCAAGATGCAGTCCCCTTGCAAGTCTTCGTTTGGATGGGAGCATCTATGGCTCCCTTTCTTGTGTGATGGCTGTGGTCAGCCTGTGTCTCCATGGTCCTCAGATGAAGCCCCTCACTGTTACGTGTGTAAAGACATGTATTTCATGAGGCCCAAATAACCTCAGATGGAGAGTGACGTTCGTCTCAGGCATGATGATAGGACTTCCAAGGATGTGCAACATCCGAAATACAAGATCTTCAAGATACAGATCTTCCCAAAAATCAGATTTATATGTATGTTGGTTTTTCTATCTTTCCCTTTTGCAATTCTTCATTAATTGAATTCCACAAATCTATGTGAGTCTTTCTTTTTTTGTATCATGTTATAAGCAACAAGTAGGAGGTTAAAACACAAGGCTCAAATCCTGGGAGAGTCTATCTCCTGGGTGAGTGCTGTGTGGTGTACAATGGGGAAAGTCTCTTCTATAATTGCCTCTCAATAGACACAAATCTTCTAATGCAAGCAGCAAAGATAAGAATTCACAGTTGTGGTGGGTTTTGTTGTTTGTTTGTTAGGGGAGAAGAGGCGTCCATTTATGTTGCATCTCTGGAAAACTAAAGAACTAGCAAAGATGAGGTTGTGATATGGCTATGGTGGGTAGGTGTGTTTTTCTTTGTGTTCAGGGCAAGAGCTGAGGCTTCTGGCATGAAAATTAACAGAAATACCTTCACAGACTTTCAGACTGACAGTTGGGACATAGTGTATTAGACTGTGGTGTGACTGCCAAGATTACTCAGTGTTGATGTTAAAATCTATCACTATCTTTTTAGTTCATAAAATCAGCTGCTAACTGCTCTTTTACAGCATTTATAATTTTACTAAGGTTTCATTATTTACCAAATTACTGAATATGGTGTTCATAGGAAGTCATACCTAAAAATCAAGAAGGAATCTTCATGAGATTATTTACTTTTCTGTGCTTCTATAGGTGTGTATTGTTTTATCCTTGTGTCAAGCTGTGACTGAGGTGGCCAAGTATGATATAAGCCAGTGCACACATAGCCTGTGTTTCTAAGAAAATCTGAGAGTCTGCATTGAGGAAAATGGAGTTTTAATATTGACTCCACTTGAGCAGACTCTTTTTCTCAAGCTGCACTGCTGTTGTACAGCTGTATGAGCTTTTCCATGCTTGACTAGCCCCATGCATGCAATTATATGAATGATGCTACTTCCTAAATCCAGATTTTGAAACTCTTCACTCTTATCTTTTTAACACTTTCCCATGTTTGAAACTCTGTCATGGTGACTCCAGACACCATCACTTGTGTTGCTTGGTGCTAAAACAAAGCAGCAATTCTGAGGAGCCTGTTTTCTCTCGTTTTTCCCTGCCCACTTGCTTTATTCACTCTATCAAATATATTTTTTCACTGGCGTAGCAAACGGGAAGCAGTGAGGTGGATGTTTAGCTTTAGGTGTAGGACTCAGGTGCCTATCGATCCCAGTCAGTCACTGGATCACCTTGCTTTAAGGAAGAGCCAGTAAGAAGCAAAAAAGAAAACAAAGTCCAGAAAAGCTCATCAGGAGTTAAAGAAGTGGGGCAAGAACTGAACTCATAGAACTGGAAGGTAAAGGGCAAAGAATAGCAAAGAGGGATGTTTAGGTCAGGGGATGGCAGATGTGAGAAAAAGAATATGGGAAGTTAATCTAAATTATGAGATTAATAAGAACAGAGGGAGTGGTGAGGGAACTAACTGCTAGCAAAAGCAGAGAGCTGTAGAGCCTTCTCTGCCTTGGATGGCAGAGAGAAGGAAGATGGCAAAGAGATGAAGATGGAAGATAGCCGGAGCTGCAAGCAAAGGTATATATATATATAAAAATACAGCAAAAATGAAGCAGAAGCCATCATACTGATGATGTTGCTTGATGCAATATAGCACAGGCTTTCGGACTTCCCAGGACTTGTTTGCATCAACAGATGATATACTGTAGGAAAAAAAGTAATTCTGCCGTAATTTGCAGTTCCCAGTTAGGGAATATTTAGCATTGTTCTTTATGAGTTACTTATTGAGACACCTAAAAATGTGACTCTTATCTCTAGATGGGAGTATTTCTGTTCTATAAACCCACACTCAGAGAAGTCAGGTGTGGGGGAGGCTGCAGGAGGTGCAACAACAGAGAGCCAGCTGCCAACAGACAAGCAACATATGGGTGAAAATCAGTCAGGCTTAATTCATGTCCCAGACCCAGCATGAGCAAAAGAGGCCAAGAATCTGCTAAAAGACCCAAGTATCTCCTGGTAAGCTGAGAAAAAACACGGCTCTCCCTGCTCTCAAAGCCTCAAGTTCACTCTTCCACATAATTTTTCCACATGAATATCTAGCAAATCGAAAGTGAGCAATTTAGAAAATCAAGTGTGGAGACCAGATAGGTGAAGATAGTATTAGTGGATGCTCTAATAAAGCATAGACACGTGAAGCAAGCCATGCTAAAATTGGCAGGTCCACAGGGGGCAGCAAGGAACCGTTCTGCCGTGTGCACTTGCTTCTCTGAGGTCCTGGACACCTCTTCCCAGGGCTCCAGAGATGCTTTGGTCAAAGGGCCACAGGCTGTTTCTATTACACTGTTGGTACTTGTTCACAAAGCAATGATCTAATCATACTTTAAAAGAGTATCCTTGACATAGACAGGTCTTACTTCAGCTGTAATCACTTTTCCTTCAGGGAGTCCCACCAATACAGGAGACACTGAGCATTCCCAGATATCAGAAGGATACACACAGTGTTAAGAAAAAACAAAAACAAAACACAACCAAACAGAAGGGGGGGGGGGGGGAAGTGGAAAGGAAAACAAAGCCAGAAATGCTTTTGTTGAACTTCTGAAGCATGTTTCCACAAAAGACAACAGATCCTAACAGGGCAATTTTCATGCTGCAAAGAGAAAAAGAATTTAAAATCTAGGGAGCATGACTTATTTAGAAAGATCTGAGGAGCAATAAAAAAGCCTGTGTGCAAATGTGTGTGTGTGCTTGCACCGTTTCTTTAACAGCTGCACGAACAACCTGTTTTAAATAAGACCAAAGGTGAACAAAGCCAGTTGTCAGTGCAGCTCACCAAATGAAGTTTTTTCAGTGTGCATGACGTATGCCATATAAAATGTATTGCCTGAGATATAACAGCACAGAGTCCAACTTGAAGTCTTTGTCTCAGGCCTTTCCTACAAAATCATGTTTGAAGAATTTACTGCATTTATCCCCATTACTTATTTGTCTACAAAAGGCCTGATGGATCCCCTTGTTCACTAGATCTTCAGCAGCAAGTTAAAATCAGCCTTTCCCCTCTCCCAGTATTCAAAGTTTTCATGTTCTGTCAAGATGCTACTGAATGCATTAATATC